TTTTTTTAGGTTTTTGCCATAGCATGTATGTTTGCCAGAGAGACAGTAGTGAGGGAAAAAGTAAAAAATTACCCCCGGGGTGGGGGATGGCTGCATTATCCCTTCTCCATTCTCCTCCTGGGATTTCTAGCATGCATGCACACATGCCCTGCATGATTTTCAAGCCACCAGGTCCAGTACTTGAATCATGATTTACAATGTGGGAGTCCAGCACCTTAACCACCACCTATTAGCCCAAAATTTCCATTTTTAAATAAAAAAATCTGAGGCAACTAGAGAGTAAATGACTTGCTAAGAAGACCTCACGTGCTACTCTTTGAAAGCCTCCCCCACAAAATTAATGTGTGGGCTCATTCCCTTTGTAAAACTGTGAGAACTCAAAAAACCACTGAAGTATACCCTTTAAATTCATGAATGGTAATGGTATGTGAATTATATGTCAATAAAGCTGTTATTTGGGGGAAAAAAAAACATTCACTTCACTGGCACCTCTGGGAAAAGTTCCTTTAATAAAATAAAATGTCTAGTACATTTACACAATTGTCATCACCCTTCATCTATAACACACAATAGGGAAAATAAAAAATAAAGGACAACCTAGACACGCTCAGTATAAAAACGGAGTGATCCATCCAAAGAGGAGGCCTCAGGGCCTGGAAATCAGAAATGCAAGAGTGCCAGTGAGCCCAGCAGCTCTGGGCTATGCTTCTGGAGGACCCAAGGGATGGTTGAGGACCTGCCTCTAACTTTTAAAAAATAGAATTAAAAAACAAACAAACGAACACGTAACGTGAGGCCTATTTCTAAGAAGGGTCCATTCCAGGGAGAGTCATCATGAGGCTGTAAGAGCTAGTCCAGGTTAGGACACAGAGCTGAGCATCAATGGCCAGTGAGAGATCCTAGAAATTCAGCCTCCGTGGCACCCTAATCTGGGCTGAGAGGTTTTCACTGCTAAAGGCAAACTGCCCACATTCTTCTATTCTGAAAGGCTTAGAGACCACTCCCTCTACTGTCAGATTCATGGCCACTCCCCTCCAAGCTGCTAAGGCTGCTTCCTGACAAGCTCCAAAGTCCTTGGATGAAGAGAAGGCGATCTCTCGGAGATGCTGCTGTGGCCTGACACCGTGTTCCTGGCCCTGACGGCAGGGCGTCCTAGTCGTCCTCGCCGCCACCATACATGTCTGCCAGCTTCTTGAAGCGGCTGCCCCACTCGTTCAGATAATCATAATCTTGGTCCTGGTCAGAGGCGGAGGAGGTGAGGGAGCTCAGTGAGGCGGCATCAGAGCCGCTGCCCTCATAGTCGAAAACTAACAGGGAGTCGTAGGGCGGGGCCGTGGGGTCCGTGTTAGCAGCCTTCAGGTTCTGAGGCAACAGAGAGCAGGTGGTTAGCACACCCCAACACTTGCCGGCTATGAGAGCTCAGGCAAGTTACTTCATCTTGCTGAGTCTCCATTTCTTCATCTGTGAGGCCATTTCTCCCCTCCCTTAAGGTTCTGTTTCTTTTCTTTCTTAGTTTACATGCCAGAGGGCACGTGAGAGAGAGAGACAGAGAAAGAATAGCTCCCCCAACAGGAACTGGCCATGCAGCAAATCTTTTTCTTCCAATTCACCATCTCATCAGGATCCTGGGCCTGTGTGTGTACCCAGTGTGTTTTCAAACCACTGGTCAGTCATGTGGGATCCGGCTCTCTCTGTGCTGTGCTATGGGGCCAGCTTCTCTTAAGGTTTTGAATGGTGAAGTCAAACAATGTATATCAAATACTTAGCACAGGGACTAGCAAACAACAAGTGCTCAGTGCAACACAGGCCAGTGGATAATGGCAAGGACTCTGAAATCAGAATGCCTGAGCCAGAACTCAGACTCTACACACTATTTTTGGTATCTTAGGTAAGACCCTTCACCACTCTATGCCTCTGTTTCTTCATCCGTAAAGTGGTGATACTTTGGTTTCTGAAGAACAAATGAGTGTATGTAAATATATGTCAAGCATTTATTAGAATAGAGTCACTACTTAATAAATGCTACATGCTAGGTCCAAAGTTCCCAAACTTAAAATCAGGTGGAGAGGACCAGAAGGTGGTGTGCTAGACTCCAACGTGGTCAGCCACAATTTGAGTCTTGGACCCAATGTCTTGAGAAAAACACTGGGTACGAGTGCAAGTGTGCCCCAAATCTTAAGAGCAGTATGGAGAAGAGTCTGTGGTGTGGCCATCCCCCTTGGTGGGTGATTTCTCACTTTTCCTTACACATGCCCTTTGATAAAACCTTTTTTTCTTTTTCTCTTTTTTTGGAGAGGTTTTTGCTATAGGGCGCGTGCACTCGCCAGATGGACAGAACGAGACAGAGGGACAGAAAGTGAGAAATCACCCCCCAGGGGGGATGGCCATGCTGCCAATCCCTTCTCCTCCGTTCTCCTCTCGGGATCTTGGGCATACACGCACACGCGCCTGGCGTGAGTTTTCAGCCACCGGGTCCGGGACGTGAACCGCGAAGCCTAGGTAACACCTAGATCAATTAATCCCAATCTCTCGGGTAAGTGAGAGACCTCAATAATTTTTGTTGTTGTTTTCCTACAGGGCATGTGCGCAGGTGGAGAGACAGAGAGAAAGTGAGAAATCACCCTCCAGGAGGCATGGCCATACCACAATTCCTTCTCCTCCATCCTTCTCTTGGGATTTTGGGCACACACACATATGTGCCCAGCATGTTTTTCAAGCTGCCAGGTCTAGGACTCTAACTGCTAAGTCAGCCATGTGGGATCCAGTTTCTTAACCACATGCCACCTGTGGCCCAACCTCAGTAATTTTTGAGGTTCCTGGGTTATTCCAATGTGTAGTCAGGTGAGGGACCCCTGTGCTAACAAATTCTAAGTGCTTACTCATTTTCTCCTTGAAGTAATCTATAGCAGAGGTTCCGAACTGGATCTCCTGGCCTCACACTGGATCTTTAAAAACTCAAACCCAAGTACTCTGGCTTCAGTATTCTAAGAATTGCTACATTTTTTGAATAAATGAATAAATTATTTTATCTATTACTAAGCACTCTGTAATTTAGGGTTCTATGAAAGAGGAAACGAGAAGCCCAGAACTTACTCAAATAGCCAGGATTTGGACCCAGAGCTAAGACTCCAAGCCTATGCTCATTCTTTTGTGCTTCTGGTGCTAGGCTTGAAAAAAGGGCTGTCCTAGGCTTGCCACACCATTCCTCACCTCAATGATGAAGTTGCCGATTTCATCTGGATTGGCAGGTCGTGGACGGTACATGGGAGTAGGAATGAAGGTTGGCGCCACATCATTGCGAAGAACCACCTCAGGTCTGGCCTCCAGACCCCGATGGAGTTGGGTGATATCATAGTCCTTCACAAAAATGAGAAAAACATGGGATTGAGACGGACCTGTGATTTACATCTCACCCACTGCTGTACCCTCTGGACGGTCTGGTTCATAAGGAAGTCTTTGAAGATAGATAAGGTCGGGCCCAGCAGGTGACATGGTGGTTAAGGGCACTGGACTTCCACATGGCCAACTATGGTTTGAGTCCCAGACCTGGTGGCTTGCTTTCTCACTTTCTCTCTATAAGGTCATGCTAAATAAAATAATAATAATAATTCTTTTTTTAAAAAAAAGACAGATATATCAGAACTTTCTAAAAGCTCTAGTTTCTACCCTCCCTTATCCTACCAAATTAATTAAGCACAGACTCAAGGTCAAACAGGCTGGGGTCGAAGAGACAGCAATGGGCTAGGACCCTTTTAGAAGACAAGAATTGGTAGTATATCCATGAGGACTGATGCTTTATGCCAGGGCAGGTCAACAAAGCTAATGGGGTTAGCTGGTTAACCATTCCTGCCAGAGACCTGGGCGGTATCTGCCTCCCAACTCCCAGTCTTCCCAGTATCCTACCTGGTCCTCTTCACCACCTCCCTCTTCACCATAGTAGAAGACGTTGTCACGGGTGTCATCTTCTGGGAGCAGAAGAGGCTCCTTGACCTTCCGCTTCTTCCTCACCAGCAAGAGGAGCACCAGGAGGAGGACTGAGAGAGTTTGAGACTGTGAATACTCACCTCCCACCACCACGTGTCTAGCCAAGACCTCCAAATCCTCAGAGTCCCGTTCAACTTTAGACCCTCCATGCAGTAGATGGAGCCTAGGAATAGCCCAACTCCCTATATCAAGGCTTATTTGATTTGGCCCCTGCCTATGTCTCCAACCCACCCCCCAAGTTCTAGCCACACAGGCTTCCTCTGAGAGCCTCAAATACAAATACAGCAGTTTCCCACTTCAGAACCTTCACGTGGGCCCTCTCTTCACCTGGAACACTCCACACAGACACATGGCTCCCACCCTTCAGGTCTCAGTTTAATATCATCACCTTCTCCTCAATGTAGCCTGACCTCACCCCTCCCCTCCCTAAAATGCTCTGTCATTTACTGTGAGTCTTCCTTCTTTTGCTCCTATATAATGTGTTCCGTAGGAATCTTGCAAAGTTTAAGTCTAATCACACCACTCCTGATGACCTTCTGTTTCACCTGTGGTCTTTCTAAGAGCCTAGAAGGATCAACATGGTGATGCACTGTGCCCATCTCCTTTCTGATCTCATTTCCTACCTTTTTCTCTCTTGCTTTTCCACTCTAGCTGTTTCCACACGATACCCAGTGCTGACTCAGGGCTTATGCACTTGCTGATTCCTAGATATCTGCATGATTTGCTCCTTACCTCTTGCAGATCTTTACCTGAATATTGCCCTGTCAGCAAGGCCTTTCCTGCTCATCTTCCTTCAAACCACAGACCTCTGACCCACCCCATGTTGACACTGCACATCCTCTCTCCTGCTTCCTTCCCATCACAGCAACACCTGTTTCTCTGCCAGACTGTTACCGCTGCCTGCACTGAAATCTAACCACCACGGGGACAGAGATCGATTAGTGTCACAGCCTAGTGCCTAAAGCAGTGCTGGATGCACAGTATATTGGTTAATTAAAGCTTGCTCTTCTTGTATTCATACCTGACCAAACACATGATTTCTGTGGAAGGACCAACTCAAAGACTGGAAAAGACAACCATGACAGGTTCTACCTTTAGGGCAAAGAAATTTGGTTTTAACTAAACACTTCCGTCCACTAGCCCAGTGGTGTTCAAGTTCTGGCATGTATTAGAACCCCCTCAAGGGCTTGTGAAAATGGATTATCGGGTCCTACCCTTAAGTTTCAGGTCAGTAAGTCTGGGTGGCTTGAGAACTGCCTTTCTAACAAATTTCTGGTATTGCTAATGCTATTGATCTGGAGATCCACCTTCCCCCCAAAAAACTGCTTAAGCCTCTAGTTGACATGATGGCAGGGCCAACTCTGCTACTCACCACTGTATCCCCAAAATCTGGCGTGTTCCAGAAGCTTTAGAAATATCTATCTGATATCTGAGTGACACTCCTAGAATTATAGGTTTAAAGAATGGGTGGGCTGGGGCTAGCAAGTGGCTTAGTGGTTAAGTCACTGGATTCTTACATGTCTGACTATAGTTCAAGTCCCTGACCCAGCAGCTTGAAACTCACACCAGGTGTGTGTGTGTGTGTGTGTGTGTGTGTGCACCCAAAATCCCGAGAGGAGAATGGAAGAGAAGGGACTGGTTAAGTCACTGGATTCTTACATGTCTGACTATAGTTCAAGTCCCTGACCCAGCAGCTTGAAACTCACACCAGGTGTGTGTGTGTGTGTGTGTGTGTGTGCACCCAAAATCCCGAGAGGAGAATGGAAGAGAAGGGACTGCTGCAAAGCCATCTCTCCTAGGGGATGATTTCTCACTTCCTCTCTCTCTGTCTCTCCGGTGAACGTAAACTACCTTGTCCTTAGAGCAGGGAGGGTAACAAGTACTCACAAAGCAGAGCCAGGATAGCCCCCAGGATGGGGAGGATGAAGCCCCCCTTCCAGGGTCCCGAGCAGATTTCTACGTGGCCGTGGCAGTCACACACGGTGGCCTTGATCACTGTCAGCTGTTCCTTGTTGCCATGGTCGGACAGAGAAAGGTGGACATCATATGTGTCCTGCTTCAGGAACTTCTTCAGGGACAAGGCCACTGCATCTCCTGGAGTGGACAGATAACTTATTAGCTGTGCAGTACTATAAGTGATAGGAGCTGAGTACACCATGATGAAGGTCGGTGTACACAGTCTTTCTGCGTCTGGGCACCAGGGAGAAATAGTCCTAAGTGTGAAAAGTTAATATTTTGCTAAATAAAAAATCATCATAATGGAAAAATTATTTGGATAGAAACATAAATTCAGACCAGCCTGTGGTGTGGTGGTTGGAGCACCACTGGGATTTGGCCACAATGCTGACATTTTGACATTTTGACTGTTGCTGGGAAGTAATGGTGAAGATAGCCACTCATTACCTAATCAACACCAGTATCCATATATTGGGTTGTTGGAAAAATCATGACACATTTTTGCAAAGACAGACATAGAAAAAAATGTGTCATGCTTTTTCCAATAATCCAATACTTAACTTTCACAGTAACTGTGTGGAAATAGGCATGAGCATGGACCCCATCTTACATATAAGGATATTGAGGCACAGCAAGGCACAGTACCTCACCCACAGTTACAAAGCTAGTAAATGGAGTCAGGTCTTTTTTTCTTTCTTTCTTTTTTCTTTTTTTTTTTTGGAGAGGTTTTTGCTATAGGGCGCGTGCGCTCGCCAGGCAGAGAGAGACAGAGAGGTAGTAAGCGAGGAATCAAACGGGGATGGCCACGCCGCAATCCCTTCTCCTCCATTCTCCTCTCAGGATCTTGGGCACGCACGCACACACGCCCGGCCTGAGTTTAAGCCACCGGGTCCAGGACTCGAACCGCGGTCGACTACGTGGGAGTCCATCGACATAGCCATTACGCTAACTGCTGGTCCCTGGAGTCAGGTCTTGAACCAAGCAATCTGGTTCCAGAGTTCAAGCTGATACATGTGCAGGGAGGACTAATATGCCTTTGAGGCCACTAGGGGGTGAGAGGAGACAAGGAAAGTGTTGGATCTATGCACCAAATCACAGGAATCATAAAATGAGCCAACACAGGTATCTGAAGTAGGTCCTGTCTTAGCTGGGCTCTGCAGCAATAACAGACACTAGGCATCTGGCTTCTTTGGGCGGCAGAATCTGAATGTACCGATTCCCCATCTCCCTCCTGGAGGACCCAGCACCAAAAAGAAGGCACAAACACTTCAAACAGGAAAGAAGCACTGCTTCTCTACAGGCCTAATTGGTACTTGGGGCTGGACCCAGCTTCCTCAGACATCCTGGGTCCCAGTCCTCATGACAATGAGAAACCACTGAAGGCTGAAAATCTTTGAGCTGGTGGATCAGAAAGAGGCAGGATGGGGACTAGCAGATGGCATTAACGGGTACGTTGCTGGACTCACCCATAATTGACTGCAGTTCAAGTCCCAGACCCGGAGGATTAAAACTCAGGTCATGCATACATGCCCAAAATCCCTAAAGGAGAATGGAGAAGGGACTGAGGTGTGGCCATCCCCCCTGGAAGGTGATTTCTTGCTTTCTGTCTCTCTCTGTGTCTTTGGTGAGTGCATCTGTCCTATGATAAAAATCTCTCTAAAAAAGCAAAAAGAAAATAAAAAAGAGAAAGAATGAGGAGGTGGACTGCTGGAGAAGTGGTGTGAGGACAGGGCTCCAGAATCAAAGTCTGACACCAGCTTCTACTATTTGCCTACTCTGTGCCCTTGGGCACTATTTAACCTCTCCGAACTTCAATTTTTTTTTTTTTTTTTTTGGAGAGGTTTTCGCTATAGGGCACGTGCGCTCGCCAGACAGACAGAGACATAGAGACAGAAAGCGAGAAATCACCCCCCAGGGGGGATGGTCACGCCGCAATCCCTTCTCCTCCATTCTCCTCTCGGGATTTTGGGCACGCATGCACACGCGCCCGGCGTGAGATTTAAGCCACCCGGTCCGAGACGTGAACCGCGGTCGACTACGTGGGAGTCCAGCGACATAGCCATTACGCTAACTGCTGGTTCCCTCCGAACTTCATTTTCATCTGTGAGTAGGGATAAAAATACTGACTGCAGAATATGGTAGAAATGTTAGAGAGAAAAAAGAAAAAGTATTGTTATTTTAATGATTAATATAATTAATATTTTAACAATTTATTTATTTTATTTAATAATTTATTTATTTATATTATTTTAAAAATTTCCTGCAGGGCACATGCCCTCACCAGAGAGAGATAGAGAGAAAGAGAGAGAGAAAAAGAAAGGTCCAGCACCTTAACCACCACACCACCTGTCTGCTCCAAAAAGAAAAAGCATTTTACATATAGCAGAGTATCATAGTAAATCACACTTTGTGGATTAAAAGCTCAATATCAAATTAGCTCAGTGGTGCAGTGGTAATGCACTGTTCAAGAGAAACCAGGGCCAGCAGTAGCATGGTGGTTAAGGCATCTGGATCCCACATGGTTGACAGCGTGGTTCAAATCCCAAACCTGGAGGCTTAGGAAATATAGTAGGTGCATGTGCATGCATGCCCCAAATCCTAAGAAGGGAGAAGGGACTGCAGCATGGCCATCTCCCCAGTAGATGCTTTTTCACTTTTCCTCTCTCTAGTGGGTGTGCAAATACCCTATGGTAAATCAAAAATAAAAGAAAACTACATGATCTATCAAGAATAAAGGGGGGGACAAGATAGTGGGCTCATAGGGATGTTCTGTCAAGGGTTGAAAAGGAGTTTGTCTGAAAGCAGATTTAAAAGCAATTTCTCTTTGGAACAACTTTTTTTGTGCCACCTAAAAAGCCTCTTGATTCACCATGGCAGTAGCAGCAATAAAATGTGTGATATCAAAGACAACCATCTTGAAACATTTCCTTCCAACCCAAAATGGAGTTTTATATTGTGTTTGTCATAAATCTATGTATTCTTCTCTTCCAGATGACTATAACTGCAAAGTGGAGCTTGCTTTGACATCTGATGGCAGGACAATAGTATGCTACCACCCATCTGTGGACATTCCACATGAACACACAAAACCTATCCCTAGACCAGATCCTGTGCATAATAATGAAGAAACACATGATCAAGTGCTGAAATCTAGAAAAGTGATCTCTCTGATCAAATTGAAAAATTAATAATAAAGTTAAAAAATAATTATTTTATTTAACTTTATTTATTTATTTTAATTTGACCAGAGGGAGAGAGAGAGAGAGGGAAAGTGAGAAAGCAAGCCACCAAGTCTGGAACTCAAACCTCAGTCAACCGTGTGGGAGTCCAGCACCCTTAACCACCAAACTATCTGCTAGCCCCCAGCATCATTTTTATTTTTGAATTATTTTTATTGGAGACAAGCAGATGGTGTGGTGGTCAAGGTATAGACACACCCACATGGCCAACCACAGTTCGAGTCCCAGACCTGGTGGCTTTCTTTCTCATTCCCTGCCCACTCACCCCCCGCCCCCGCC